AGAGAGAGAGAGAGAGAGAGAGAGAGAGAGGGGGAGGGAGAAAGAGAGGGAGAGATGGATGGATATAGATGGATATGTATAGATATCCAGATAGATACATAGATAAATAGATAGATAGGTAAATATGATTAACCAATTGTAATAAACTTCTCATTATAAGGTATCTACGCTGAACATGGCTCTACGTCCCTTGTTCTAGATACGATAATATCATCATCTCCATTATATATTAGAAATCTAAATGTATTTGTGTTCGTGGGCGTCTTGATTTTAGTATCATTATTACGAACCCAAAACAATTTTTCATCCTAAGATGGACCAGCGCTACACAAAGACCCCGTCCTTTTGTATCTAGTCTATAATCAGCCTGCTGTTATCGAATGTTTCATCAGCATAAAGTAAATCGGCCTCGACATGAGGACGCTTTCTCATTGGCACAGTCCCAGACCATATCGATATGTCAGCTCCCAGCGGTCACGTGATGGAGACTATATAAAGCACCGATACAGGAAAAGCTGTTAGGCATAGCATGCTTAATTGAACGTCATTAGGGCCACCTGACCAGAGTTGGCGGCGATATGCCTTAGGTAAAGCGGGATTGGGCTCTAGTCCGGACTGCCATTGGCATAGTCTAATCTACCGCAGCGTCGCCAGCGAAGGCTCTCCGTATGCATTCAACAGCTGGTGGTTAACCATCAGGGATATTGCCGATGTAAAGTAGCGGTGCGCAGAATTCTTCTCTCATTGCTATTGACGTCCTGCCGGGCCGAGTCGCCGGTATCTCCGCCGTTTTGCCGCGTTTGCTTCTCGTTTTCTGCTGAAACAAGTGATTGCTGACGCCAGCACACGCGTGCGGTAAGCCCAATCGTTTACCGTATATGTCATCCATCGGCATTAGGTAGGCGTTCCGCTTGCACGCACCCAACAGATGACATTGTGACTTTGCCATCCCTGGTTTACGTCGTCGGAACTGTCCACAGATTCCCTTCCTATTCTATCAGCGCCGTGTGTCCATGGACGATAGCACCACTATCTACCTACATTCAACTCTCCCAATCTCTGTTTCCGGAAGATATGGACATACTACAGACTGGTACCAACACGCAGCGAGGTGGACGTGCTCAATAGCTTAGCTTGATATTCCTTGATGGCTGAGGGAGATATGCGTGGTTCCACGCACGGCAACTGAGCGATCTAATCAAGAGATGCACTGTTAATTAACATCAAACGTCGTTTCATTACGATGGAGGCTGTTATCGCCTGTACATTGAGAGCTAGACTGACATCATAGGTGGACATTAAAAAGATCGCCTGTGAAAAGAAAGCTATTGATCCGTGTAGCCTCCTAGACGCCGCGCTTCGCTCTGTGGATCTCCTGGGGTGAAAGGCCAGCTTTGTACCCACAACATCGGCTGAACTCCAGGACAACCTTGCCAAGTTTGCACAGAGACCGGCCTAATCTTTATTAAGCGTGCACCGCACCATTGTAGTGCCGCTGGCGACGTGTTCGGCGTACCGTGCGGGGAATAGCAATCGCCCAAACCCCAACATCAACAACCGGAGCAAGATTGATTCAAGTAAGGTCGTGGGGAGGGAAAACCTGACGATGTCGCACCTACCAGATAAATTGAGCCACCCGTTTGTTGTCCTCCTGTCAATTCTGTGTACCGCCCCGCTGGTGCGGACCAGAGAGCCGGTGGTGAGAATCGGGGGAGGCGAAGACTCTCCTACCCTCCGCGGAACTCTAGTTAACCTGGACAATAGTGATACGGAGTTGGTTCCTGTGGAAAAATACCTCGGTATTCCCTATGCTGAGCCACCGACCGGAATGTATCGCTTCAAGCAAGCGAAGTTACAAGCACCGAAATGGACTGGCGAGCGAAACGCTACCAGGTTTGGTCCGGCGTGCATGCAGGCAGTACGGAAAACAACCATGACCACGCCTTCATGGACTCGTCAACAAGTTGCCTCCATGCAACCATATCTCCAAACCCTTAACGAGGACTGCCTGTTCTTGAATATCTACAGGCCCATCAATAAAGGTAAGAAATTCAGCGATACATCTCCCACCTTCTACTCATTAATATTCTCCTGTGATATGGTACAATATTACATTGCGGAGGGGAGCTGATAAATCTACGCGCAAGGACACTAAGTGCGATAAAGGTGCTTATTGCACTTAAAGGAGGTGCAGGGGTAAATTCCCATGTCAGTGTGACAGCGCGCAGTCCGTGTAATAACGCCGCGATGAAGCAGTTCTGCTGCCAGAGGTCACAGCGCAGTAAAATGTGCGGTTTTACAGCTGATATCTAAAGCTTATCACAAGTCGGTCCATTTTCAAATGACATCAAATTACTATCCTGACATACCTCGATAAGAACCCCTACAGCGGTCTGCCATTGACTGAGCATATTTATGTAAAGGAGTGATAATGACAGAATTTCTTGCATATTTCTATTAATAACGTACGTATTCTACTGTTTGTTATGATAAATAATGTTTGTATAGAGCCTTGTTAATGAATGAATGTGCACGAACCCTCCAAAAATGTTTATGATGCAGGGAAACTGTCAGATCAAGTTTTCATGGCGGCAGTAATTGGCAATAAGTATCTGTTCCCAGGAGACCGCGCAATAGTTCAGAACTCCACTAGCATGAACAAACTCCGTGGTACCCAGGTGCACCCCTTCTGGAGATCTGGTCGCTGATTGGCTGTTCACTTAATTACTTTACTGCTAAATGAACACCTGTGTATGACTCCACATACTTATAATAGGAATAGTTCCTTTTTTTTTTACAAGTATTAGCCAGGCGGCAGTAATTGGTAATAAGTATCTGGTCCCCGGGGACCGGGCGGGAGTTCAGAACTCCACCAGCATGACCAAACTCTACGGTAGCGAGAAAGACATCAATGTAAAAAACAAGAATTCAGAGACCTCCATGAAATATTTAGATCTTGTGTGATGGTGACTGTGTCCTTTTCATTTACCGGGTCTACTTTTTTTTGTATCTTGCAAGAGAAACGGCATCATCTATAGTAGATCAAGTAGGTCATGTAAAAAAAAATGTAAAAATAGCGAGCGCTACCAGTTGTGGACCTGATTAATGACCATGCGGAAACACACACACACACACACACACACACACACACACACACACACACACACACACACACACACACACACACCAGCTGTTAAAATTCACCGGAACAGATCGTACTTTTCTCTTACAAGATATCGATTATTTATAGACAGATGATGAAGTCAGCGATGAAAAAAGTATTTCTTTGGTTTTTCATTTAGGCCATGTTGATTTGATTATATGGATGACATCCTCCGGGAACCCCAAAACTGATGCGCGCGTGCGAATAAAAAAAAAACGTTTTGGCATGAAGGTACAGTGGCCAAATACCCCAAGGCGTTTTTTTTTTCATTTTCTTGATACAGGCTTTTAGAATGGTTTTACTTGGACGTTTTGGCTGTGTTACTGGTAATGTACTATAGCAGTGCGTGTTGCAAAGATTTACCATAGAGTGTGACCATATTTGGGCATAGGGCCAATGCCCAAATGTAAGCAGCAGGTACCAGGTGCACCCTGTTTGGAGATCTCGTCGCTGATTGGCTGTTCACTTAATTACTCTACTGCTAAATGAACACCCGTGTATGCTTCCACATACTTATAATAGGAATAGTTCCTTTTTTCTACAATTATTAGCCAGGAAAAGAAGTCTTTTGGGTTGTAAATCGGTAGAAACATTTCATATAACCTACATTTTTATGTACCTTGCTATTTTGTAAGCCAAATGTTAAAATTTTTAAACCAAATAAGCTGATTTCCTCTATTCGTCTTGTCGATTGGCTGTTGAGATCTAATTGGGTTAACTGTATTAACAGCTGCACATAGCAATACCATATTGACAGTATTGAACTGTATTCAAGTGTTTTGGGATAGGTATGTCAAACTTTTCTTCTCCAGCATTGGAATTCGGGGCATAAACGCTTTTTTATCTTGAAAATCAACAGTTTGCATTATGCAAATAAAACTCCTAACCAATAATGTAGGGGACAGCTGTCCAACTGTTGCATTCTTAGTTGTATGTCACTTCATACTATATTTATATTCAATATGAAGCATTGTTTTCCCTTGTATTTTTCTCGTTCTTTCCCTGTCATGTCGTGAAACGTCAACAATGTCGCGAGAACACGAGGCTAGGTCGAGACTTGTGTGGAAGTCTCGACCCAGTCCCGTGTTTTCGAGTTCATAATGGAAAAGAATAAGGAACTCATTTTCAGGAAGAAAAGTGCATAATTTCGTCGGAATGGTTAACTTCATTTGGCGAAGATATGAGATCGTGATCTTCTACTTCTACTTCTATGTGATACTGGTCAAAACCCCTCACTGGGGCATCACGACCAGGGTGCTGGGTGCACGGCTAAGTGCGGCCGGTGGGGTGATGGTGCTGAAAAAAACATCATGAAAGCAACAAAGTGCAAAAAGCGAAATTGTGCTCATAATCTATTTACATGGCCCCACTTGGAGTCCTGATCACCTCTGGGGGCATGGATGGCCCATGTACTGGGCCAGCCCGAGCTTAAAGCTATCTACTGTTGTCGCTGTAACTATGTGTGATGGTAAAGTATTCCATTCCATAACTGTTCTTGGTATGAAACTTGCTCTGTAAGTTTCTGTATTGCATGTGAATGTGGTGTAGTGTAGGGGATGACCCCTTGTAGGGTTTGTGTTTCTGCTAGTGTACATGTGTATGTTGATGGATACTTGGTCGTTGATGGCCTTGAAAAACAGTACTAGTGTCAGTCGTGCAATCTTTCTCCTCTCTTTCAGGGTGGGCCAGCCTAGTTTGTTCAAAAGGTGTGTTACACTTGTGGTGTGTCTGTAATCGTGAAACACAAATCTTGCCGCTCGCCTTTGGACTGCCTCAATTTTTCTTCCTGGACACTGGTTTGAGCATACTGACGTTTGAGCGGGTCCCACACTGTTGCTGAATATTCCAACTTGGGTCTAACTAAGGAAGTGTATGCTTTAGCTCTTACCTCGACTGAAGCCCCCCCCCCCCGTACCTG